TTATTCACCCCCATGATATGAATATGAAATGAAAGGCATTAAAAATAAAACTTGTTTTTAAAAATGTTTTTATACAATTATTTATTCTTGACTAAGTAGCGAGTGAACTATTATTTAAAATATCTTATATGTTAGGAAAGCGAATATTTTGCTGACGGCTGAAGGCTTCAGTAACGACTTGACTTGACTGAAGACTTTTTAAGTAAGCATGTATTCTGACTTATAAAGTTATGCGATTTTGCTAATTATTATATGATATGTGAGTTTGTTATTAACCTTACTGCAAGCGAATGAAATTTTGTACCTTGTCAAATAATTGCTTGTTACATTTAATAAAATCACTCAGATCTCCATTATCCTTTACTTTATTAATGATACAAAATACTTTGCAATATCCTACATCGTCCTCTGGTCTTTGATTTAGGAATACATATTAATATAATGAAAATGATTAATCTTCTCGTGCAGAAATCTAACCCACTTGGTAAATTAATAATAACCAAACCACGATTTTACTTCACCAATCATATTTTATATATTATTTGATTTCCTATATACTAATATTGTTATCGTATTTTTAGAAAGCTGCTTTGAAACCTTGTTATATGTATGCGTTAGGTGGTGTAGATATGCTTTTGATTATACTCACACTATAAAAACGTAACGTAATTATTTGCAAACGGTTTCAGTCAATGTACTATTTACCTTGCCACACCGGATGTCAGCTCCACGTCCAACAAAGCCGTCAAAGGGATATATATTTTCGAACCTTTATAGATAGCTGCAGGTTGAATTGTTTATTAAATATGCGGTACAGTAACTCCCACAGTAAACAAATAGTAAGGCAGTAGTAGCCTATTGGTAAAACGCTCGCTTGGAAAACCGAATAAAACGGGTTCAAATCCCGGTTTTCGCATCTGTAATATTTTTATTTGAGAATCATTTCCAACATGATTACCACTTGTTTTACAGTGAAGGAAAACATCGTGAGGAAACTTTCACGTCTGAGAGATACTACTAATTTATATTAATATAAAAACATGCTTTTCAAGTGTGCTCTTAAAATTTTCTATTAGAATAATGTCAGGACTCTGAGGTGGCCATGACAGAATTTGTAACTCCTGCTATTTAGCCATTTTATTACTATTTTCCTTAAAGCCTACAGAAAAGTCCGCAATATTATTATCATTAACTAGCAGCACCCGCGACTTTTCTCGCGCTGAAACTACGAAAAAAACTTTGAAAAGGTAGGTTTCAAACAAACTTTTATCCTTTTTACCCCCTTATGGGATGAATTTCGAAAAATGCTAATACATGTATTTCTTTAATTGTATTGAAGAGCATTAATAACAAGTTTCAAGTAATTCTGATAATTATTTTTTTTGGTTGTATTATAACGTATTTTTCCGTAAGAGTGAGATAATCTCCGGCGATAAAAAGTAGTCTATGTCACTCGCCAGCTCTCCAACTATTACCACACAGAAAATCAAGTCAATCCGTCACTCTGTTCCGACGTGAAAGAAAGACAAACAAACAAACACACTTTCACATTTATAATATTAAGTATGGAAGTATGGATATTATAAGCATGAGTTTATTTCCTAAGGTACACTCGCAATAACTACGTTTTTATTAACCGCCTTGCAAAAAGGAGGACGTTCTCAATTCGTTGGAATCTTTTTTTTTAATGTATGTTCACCGATTACTCGAAGATGCCTTAACCAATTTGGATTTTTTTTGTTTCAAGGGATTTACTTTCCAGGTGGTCCCATATAAATATGGTGAAATCGGACCAGCGGTTCTTAAAAATATCAACAATAATTTTTTTAAATAACTTGTTAATCGAATATGTTATTAAAAAACTTTCTTCTTACAAAATACCTGCTTATTACGTCTACGCTAAAAATGGAAAAATAAAAACTTAAAAAACAAAACCGACTTCCAGCCACTAAAATGTAAAAAATAACTAAACGGAATTTTTGAAGTAAGTTCTAGACTACAATATTTTAAGATATGAATTTCTAATAGGCAAATATGTATCTATTCTAAATGACAACCTCTGTTTAGTTATTTTTTATATTTTAGCCTGGAAGTCGTTTGTTCTTAAAAACAACGCGCGGGTAAGTCGCTAGTCTATAATAAATCTTCACTTGTAATGTGAAGTTCAGTTCTGTATTCAGTTCAGGAAAACCCTGCTGGGTTTTGTCATGACTTGTCATGAATTTTTAAACGACTGTAGTGTCAAAAGTACTGAAAAGCTGTCATTAAAGAAATGATTTCTTGCGCGTAACAAAGCTGTTTTGGCTTTCCACTTATGCCCCTAGTCTTCCCTAAGTCATGTTTTCACGATTTTCAGCAAATAGTTGAATAATTTGATGTATTTGTTATAAATTTCTAGTCGTTTCTGCTATTCTGTACAACTTGTTTATTGAACTTCTTTTAGTAAAAAAAAACTAACTTGAATAAATACAAAAAAAAAAACAAAAAAAAATTATACCTTTGTAACCGACCGGGATCCGAACCCGGATACCTATGATTGTTGATCTTGCACCTTGGCCGCTTGAACACAATGTTTATACCCGAGCGTGCAAATTACCGACCATATTTTGTGTGGAATAATGCAAAAGAAAACAACATAAAAACTCGAAAATTCGCGTTTTCTCAGACATACGAATAATCTAGATCGATTTACCGCACCCGAAACATCCTGTGTACAAAATTTCAAGAAAATCATTGAAGTTTCCGAGATTCAGATAATATATATAAACTAGCGACTCACCCTCGCTCTGCTCGGGTTCGTCCCTAACGTGGGCCACCCTTATCACTTAGGGGTATGGAAAATAAATAGTAGCCGATTCTCAGACCTACTGAATACGCATATAAAATTTGGTAAAAATCGGTAAAGCCGTTTCGGAGGAGTACGGTAACTAACATTGTGACATGGAAATTTTATATATTAGAATATATATATATACAACAATTGCTCGTTTAAAGATATAAGATATATTCCTGTACCTGGGCTACCGAGCTCCGCTCGGAGTTTTTGGGCTCAAGTACAATTTTATTTTTCTTTAAAAAAAACTGAAAACTTGAATACATATTAAAAGAAAACAAAAGTAAAATTTTTGTATGCGGCCGAGATTAGGACCTGAACACCTGTGATTGTTGATCTTGCACCTTGGCCGCTTGACCACGATGCTTATTCCCGAGCGTGCAAATTACCGACTATATTTTGCGTGGAATAGCAAAAGAAAACTGCATGAAAACTCGAAAACACGCGTTATTTCTGACATAAGACTAATTTAGATCGATTTATCGCCCCGAAACCCCCTGTGTACTAAATTACATGAAAATCGTTGGAGCCGTTTCCGAGATTCAGATTACAATTAAAAAAAATAGTATTATTATTTGCCAATAGATGTCAGAAAGAGTCATTTTTTTCAGTTTATGTTTAAGTGGCAGCATTAGGACTACCCAAACGCCATCTTTTTATTATTTTTTTAAAGATATAGTTAAAGATAAAGTTGATTATTGTAAACACGAATAAAACGACATTTTCTAAAAATACCTGAGCCACCGACCTTCACTTGAAATTTTTGGTCAAAAGTACAATTTACTTTAAAAAAAACTTGAATAAATACAAAAAAAAACAAAAAAATTATACCTTTGTATCCGACCGGGATTCGAACCCGGACACTTATTCATTCTTGCGCCTTGGCCGCTTGACCATGATGCTTATATTCGAGCGTGCGATATTATCGAACATAATATTTTGCATGGAATAATGCAAAAGGAAACCGCATGAAAATTCGAAAACACGCGTTTTCCCAGGCTTAAGTCTAATCTAGATCGATTTATCGCCCCCGAAATCACCTGTATACTAAATATCATGTAAATCGTTGGAGCTGTTTCTGAGATTCAGATTATATATATATTGCTCGTTTAAATATATTAGATTTGACGACACGTTTGGCTCTGTAGTGACCCTACTTGCTGTGCCAGCGGTCGCGGGTTCGAGTCCCGCTGGAGGCATTCATTTGTGTAATGAGCACGAATGTGTGTTCTCCAGTCATGGGTGTTTATATTTATAATGTGTATGTATTTAAAGTTATATATATGTAGTGTATTAACCATCTGGTATCCATAACAAGCTTGGTGCTTACCATGGAATTAGATGTTTATATATATATATATATATATATATATATATATATATATATATTATTTAGTATACAGGAGTCGATAAATCGATCTAGAAGAGTTTTATGTCTGGGAAAACGCGTGTTTTCGAGTTTTCATGCGATTTTGTTTTGCATTATTCCACACAAAATATGGTCGCTAATTCGCATACTAGGATAAAAGCATCGTGGTCAAGCGGTCAAGGCGCAAGTTTGACAACCATAGGTGTCTGGGTTCGTATCCCGGTCGGATACAAGGTTTTTACCATTGTTTTTTTTTTTGTATTTATTCAAATTTTTAGTTTTTTTTTTAAATGTTTTTTGGCCAAAAACTGCGAGTGAAGCTCGGTAGCCCAGGTACTTATTTATTAAAGAAAACGCGCATTGCACTATTGCGCTTGCTCATTCTCCTTTATACACTTTAATTTAATACATTTTAAACAATTCAATTAACAACTATTAATAAATTCACGAGAAATAAGTAATTAAACAGATACACTTTTATTGTACACTTTACGATGAATTGTATAGAAAACTGTTAAAATAACTGGGCTTTTTATATTTTTCAATAAAAGCACATACGTTCGTCACTACAAATCACATGAGTAAAAATATTGTTAGGTTATGTGGGTAATCTTAAATATATTTTTATTTCCACTGTCCTACATGAAGGACAGTAGGCTTATCTGGGATAATCTGGAATAACGCATAGGCTACTGATACACACCTAGGAACGCACTCGAGCGAAACGTGCAACTCCCTAATATAGAAGTATTGTTATTATTAAAATGTTGTTATTAAAAGCATACCGGCTATTTCCAGTCCACCAGAGGGAACTGCAGAAATGCTAACCCTTATTTCTACGCTACAAAGCGACCGCCTCAATGAACAACGGGCAGAGCTCCGCCCGGTCAACCCTCGAGCAACCCTTCCCGGGGTCGGCGTTATACCCACAACGCGTCCAAAGCCCGAAGAAGACTTTATAGAAGTGTTGGCCCGAGTACAGGTAAGATGCAAAGATTTTCAGTAACGTCTAATTGATTCTAAGAAGAGGATTTTCAAAAAATTCTTACTACAGCAATTAAAACGATGAGAGCTGAAACAAGCAATTAGATTAGCATTTTTTTCATAAATTTAGTTTTTATTCGACAGTACTATATAATAGAAACTTTAAACATTAATGATAATCACACTATCTTATAGTAAGACATAACGTAGGCTACGACGCATCGGTCAAGCTAAGAGACGTTAACATTTAAAAGAAGAGAGCCGTGGAAAATTCAACTTTATATTTTGTTTTTCTGAGACTGCCTCGTTATTTTAGTAACTAGCATGTATTGCTGCAGATCGTGAGATCCTAGGTTCGAGTCCCGGGTGGGAATAAAATAGTAACTGAGATTTTAAGTCACAGAAATACTTAGTGGCGACGCACAGTTCTAACGTAAGAGACCTATGTGGGATTTATGGCTAGGCCACTGAGGCTAGTGGCCGTAACTGAAGTCGGTTAAAAGGTAGTTTTTTTTGTGATCATTTTCAATCCAAATTAGCCAAAAACCAGTTACCAGAAATCTTAAGAGAGTCATTATTTTATCCCCATCTTTTACATTGATTTAATTAAAATTTAATAATAAATTGAATTATAAAATATTGTTGGAAAATTGTGATAAAAAACTATCGTAAACATTCTAAAAAAGGAAACGTTTGTTTAATACGGATAATCGACCAAGGTCTAAAAAAGCCTGAGGGAAAACTGCAAATAAATAAGGCAATAAGTCAATTACAGTGAAGTGAACAAATATCAACAGATATTTCAGTATTTGAAAAATTTAATGAAACAAAATGATAAGACATCATGTTTTGAACTAAAAAATAAATAAACGTGTTTCTTTCATCATTGCTCTTGAAATCTACATTACTTATCAGTTTGGCTTTCGGGATTAATCATGGTTAATTATTGTATTTATTTTGTATTGCGATGCCTTGCGGTAAAGAATTGAGTTCTATTGAAAAACAAAAAGTTATTGATCTGAGAAGCGCGGTAAGACTCACAGGCAAATAGCTGACATTATTTATAGATCACGGAGTGTGGTGAAAAACTTTTTGAAGCTAGGTGTCGAAAACTATGGCAAAATAAAACGTTCGGAATGCCCGCCAAAATTTCCTCCTATTGTTTTAAAAGAATTAAACAGTATTAAAAGAACTATCAAGTAGTGGAGCATCATCATTGACATTAGTGCGTAGATTAATTTAAACTGTGATGCTAGTCTTGTGAGCAAGTGGGCACAAGAGACCAGACGCTTTAAATATCAGAAAAACCCGTCTTAAAAGCCAAACTTTTTGCAGAAAGACTAAAAGTTGCAGAAAAATATGTAAAAAAGTAAAAACTTCTGGCAACACGTTATTTTCTCTGATGAAAAGAATTTTATTTGTGACGATCCGGACGGTTTTAAGTATTATTGGCATGATTTAAGGTTTGAACGTAAAATATTGTCCCGTCGAGCTCATTGAGATGTATCGGTTATGGTCCGTTGTGGTATCACTGGACATTTAAAAACGGAATTGGCGTACTGTAGTAATCGAATGAACGCTTCTAATTATCGAGAGCTATTACACGACCATCTTCTGCAATCTCCAATACACGTTGCTTCAACTACAAAAAAGTGGCTTCAGGACTTTGGTATACCACTATTGGACTGGCCAGCATGCAGTCCCATTTAAATCTGGTGGAAAATATTTGGGAGATCTTAGCAAGAAAAAATAACGATCAAGAAAATATGCAAAACAATAATATTTCTCAACTTAAAGACTGCAAGTCTTCTTGGTCCAAAATTTGACCAAATTAAGAAAATTTGGACTAAAATTTCATAAATAGAGTTAATTGGTAGTAGACCCGACAGACTTATCGAAGTCTTTAAAAATAAGGGTAAAATGACGAAACATTTATTAATATATACAAACATTATGAAGACATTGAGCATAATTATTCCCAGTTAATATATGCTGTTAAAATTTTTTTTCATTTTTATATATAACTAGCAGAATTCGCGGCTCCGCTCGCTCTAAAACTACAAAAAAACTCTAAAAAGTAGGTTTCATAAAAACTTACATCCCCTTTTTTACCCGTAAGGGGTTTAACTTTAGAAAACGCTAAAATACATAATTCATTATTTTTGCCGTACTCAATTCATACGAAATTTCATGCAAATATGTCCAAGGAATAAAATGTGTCATACAAACTTTTATCCCCTATTTCACCCCCTTGGGAGTCGAATTTTGAAAAATCTTTCCTCAGTGGATACCTTCCTCATATCAGGAATTCCATGTGTGAAATTTCAATTTTCTAGCCTTAAGGGTTTGGCCTGAGCGTTATTACATCAGTCAATCAATTTTGTCTTTTATACAGGGTCATTTTTAATTTACTGAAAACCTTTTGGGAATATACTATTTACATCATAACAACAACATCTGTAACAAGAAAAAAATATATTTCTTAAATTTTTATTTTCATACAAAAATAAAAATATTTTTATTGCACCTTTAAAAGGTAAAGTTCTAGTATCTGGCCAAGTTTAAATGAGTAAGGGCCACTTCCTACACCCCTCCTCTTCCACCGGTCATGCGCTTTCTTTTGCTAATTGTTGGACATTACCGTTTAGAAGGAGCAATAAAAATACTTTTATTTTTGTAAAATTGAAGAAATATTATTATTTTTTTCTAACAGATGTTGTTATGATGTAAACAGTATATTCCCAAAAGGGTTACGGTAAATTAAAAATGACCCTGTATATTAAGAAGACTAGCGACTCACCCTCGCTTCGCTCGGGTTCGTACCTAGCTTGCTTCCCCATACAAACTTTCTTCCCCATTTTCACCCCCTTAAGGGATAATTTCCGGAATAAAAAGTATCCTATGTCCTTCCCAGGGTCTCAAACTATCTTCTTACCAAATTTCATCTAAATCGATTTAGTAGATCTAGAGATTACCCCCTACAACGTCACAAACTCACAATTCACAAACTCATAAACTTTACCTCTTTATAATATTAGTATATATAGTATTAGTATTGTATATGAAAAAAAAAAACAGAAATATCACTCAATAGATTGCGACACGGTCGCGGTTCCATACCTACGAATATGTTGTATTATCTCTTTAACCATTTGTCCAAACTATATGCAGTAAAAGGGAAAAGTTTTTTTGTTTTAAACATTTTAGACGATAAATTTACTTATTTTGATAAGAATTCATAATTGTTGATAATATGACCAATAAACATGACCATGACCGATTTAAATTATTTTTTAATATAAAAACTACTTTTTGTAACTTAAATATAAAAGTTAGACATATGCTGTCGCTGACTTTTTTGTAGGCATTATTAAGCTCTACAACTTTTCTCTAGAACATAATCATATATATCTCATCGTTAAGGCAGCGTTCGTAAGAAACGTTTTCGTTCGACCGTTTTTTCTCCGACTTACTTTGCAAATCCGACTACCATAAAAAAGCCTTTTCATTCTTCGGGTTAATATATAACCTATGACACTCAGAAAGAACGTGGCTTTCTATTGATAAAAGAAGTTTGAAAATCGGTTCAGTAGATCCAGAGAATACCCCCTACAATATCACAAACTTTACCTCTTTATAATATTAGTATAGATGTAATGAATAAAAAAATGTTCACATACACTAAGAATTTTCTTTTTTTGTGACCTTTATTTACTGAAACAATATTTAGAAGTATATACTTATTTCCTCATAAAATCTTGAAAATTGGATATGAGTCTATATTTTTTCATAGCACTGTAGCATCTCAAGTAAAATCCACTCCAAAAGTAGTAAGCAATTAAAGTACCTATAAATATCGAGAGTAAAGATTTCTCTTAGCTCTTCTCCGTGTATTTCATAAAAAGCGGAATCCACTCGGAAGTTAATTAGATAATATTCGAATTTCAAGGAGGTTAGTTATTTATAACATTTTCAGGCACATTTTACTACAATAAATATATGTATATACGGCGAAAAATGTAAGTTATTTGAAATATTTGAAATGTTTATACTATCGATAAAGTCGTTTTACCGAGTACTATAATGACGGCCATAGTCATGAAGTCAACTTACAAATCATTTTATTTCGGAAAAATTATATACGTTTGATACAACGTAGAAGCTGTAACTGTTAAATTTAAATTAGGTAGATTTAACTAAACCGATATTAAGGCAGATAAGAAATGTCTTAATAATAAAGAACTCTCGTCCTAACCCGGGACTCGAACCCCTCTCATGATATACTATGATATAAACTAGGTACTACACCTACAAGGCAGAGCTTAATAACTACAAAGTATTATACTTTCTAAAAGATGTTACAAGGGAAAGCAATAATAATAAGCGATGAATAGAAAATAAAATATATTATGTATTGTAAGTTACCTTGAAGACTCGGAATTTTCCATCATTAGATTGTTTTATAATAGAAAAACAATGCTGCGGTCAATATTTTCACTTAAAAATTAAGAAGTGTTTGTTCCATATGTAACTTTTTACTTACCTTCGTACAATGAATTTATTTAAGCAATTCATGTACTACGTATGTTCCACCTTAACTTATAAATTATTCTGTAACTCAAGGGCACCCGTCTAGAAGACCAGCGAACAGCACTTCCGAAGCCGCAAGCTGAACAAGAGGAGGAAGAAAAAGACGATTTCTTTGCCCGCCTCATGAAAGCTCAAGCTGGCCGTATGGAAGACCAGCGTGCAAGCGTAAGTTATTTTAAGACTAGACTAATTAAAATAAAATCTTTAGAAATTGTGTTGATTGGAACATTTTCACTAAATCTTTGATGCATCGGGACAAAAAGAAACTATGTATGTCATTTTCCTAACAATACATTAGTATCCAACTCTTATGTACCCATCCATTATTATCATCGGTTATTATTAAGAGCTATATGAAATTGCTTGCAGAATAATAAAGTCCCCAAAATCCACTCGACCAATTCAATCAGTAACAATTTTAGATTTAGATTGAAAAAAAATCAATTTTTATTAAATAACTAGCGACTCACTCTCGCTCCGCTCGAGTTCGTCCCTAGTTATGTTTTATAGGTTAGTATAGTTTTCTTAGAGATGAGATATTTTTGTGTAGTAAAAAGTATCCTATATGTAGACTCGGACAACCACCTGACATGATACCAAATTTCAACAAAATCTGTCCAGTGGTTTTTTCGTGATGCGTTCCCAAACAGACATAGAGACAGACAAAAATTCTAAAATCTATATATTCGGCCTCTGTATCGATAATAATGACTATTTCAATAAGATTTTCTGAAAAATATTTAATATACAGGTTCGCCTCAGAATTTTATTATATGTATGTAATTTTATTATATGTAAATAAATAAAATTATGTTTTCTTTTTATTTTATTTCAGATTCCGCTTAAGGAAAAGCCTCAGCCATCAAACTCTAAAAATTAAATGTACTTGATACATTTTGGAGTCATATCCTTACTTTCCAATGCTTTAAATGTACCCCCTGCTAATAAGTATATTTGCTGTCGGTACCACCATGTTTCGCACCATATCCACGACCGTTTAATACTGAGCAAATATTTTGTTTCTTTTATTTTGATTATACTTAATTTATTTTTAATAATTTTCACTTATTTAAAAAAAAACTGTACTAACATGGAACATACAAAACAGATTTGATGCTTAATTCAGAAAATATTTAAAACATTTATCATTTTTATTATCTTACTTTTATACAATATCCAGCAAGACACCAGATATTTTTTGAAGATTCTAGAAAACGCTTCAAGGAAACATTGATACAGATTTTATTAGTGATGTGAATACAGATAACTCGAAATTATTATCAAACATAGTTTGAGACAGAAAAAATATTTTTATAGGGGAAAAATACAGAGATCTTGTCATATACGATGCTATCGCCATAAACATGTGATGTTTGGAAAGTTGACTTATTTTAAGTAAAGCTTAGCAAATTTTTATGTCTCTCTTTCACTTATTTTGCAATTTTAAAATACATTATTAATAAACGTTACGTAGTTTCAATGTCATAATTGTTTAAGGATTTTAGGACTAATTAGTAGTAGAAAATGAACGTTATGAAACTCCTTAGTACAGAAGCTCATACTCTAACTTTCAAAGACAAGGTAATCAAATCTATCAATTTTTTTCTAACTGTCCACTAAACTGACAAAACACTGAAAATAACTTGGCTATGCCTAATACATTTTATTTCATCAACGGACTAACGGCTTATTGATTAACTTAATTTTTTTTTGTTAAAAACACAATCTGTTTTAATGCCACTTTTTTAACAGTTTATATGTTATCAAGCAATTAATTGTATTATTATTATCCTAAATATTGGCTCTGAGCGAATGTTTCTTTATCTATGATGTATAATGTCTGTTGATTGTATTCAAATGAATTTAATTATTGTCAGATTATAATATTAGGCCTATTTTATTTCCACTTTTAAAGTAACACGGACTAATTTTATAAATTATTCAATATATTTTTTAATAATTCTTAATGATTTTAAGATATTAACATTTATGCATTGCGTCTTACAATATTATATACTCTAGTAAATATAAGGTTTAATTTATACTAAGTTTCCTGTTTCCAAAGACAAGGTAATCAAATCTATCGAATATTTTTTATAATAAATTTACTACTCTTTTATGTTTTTCTCAAATCAAATGTTTTTGTATCTGGCGACATGGATATTCATATAATACTTTTTATCTATACATCTTCTCGAATAGAAACTCCACTAATTATTTGGAATATATTTATGGTCTTTTGTGTTTTTTTATATATTATACATTATTTTAGCATTAAGATTTATAAGTTAAGGATTGTGTCTATCTAAAGAAAAGGTATTATAGTTATTCCACTGAGAAATCATTCCAGAACGAAATCGAACGGGACTCGTATGAATTATTCTACTGTAAGCAACAAACTAAATACTAGGTCAAAATTAATAATAAGCATTTTCAAATAATTACATAAAAAATAAGATATAAATCCATATGTATTAAGGATAATGTGAATTGGTCTAACTTTGGTCTTTCATGGAGAAATCTTTTTAAGAAATAAAAATATTTAATTATATTAATATATATATATATATATATATATATATATATATATATATATATATATATATATATAGTAGTCATACAAAAAAATGAAAGGGACGAGGACAAAGGTAGACAAATTATATTAGTTCTTTCATAATATTACTTACATAGTTTGAATCATTGACGCTTAATTTATTGGAAAACTTGCAATTTCAAAGTGATTCAAAATCATCCTGATTGACTAAAGTTGACTTATTACATTTTTTGGATTACTGCTATACTTAAACATTAGAAAGTATTTGAAAATTGAGTTGTGAGATAGATATGTATGAATATATTTAAAAATAAACTACCGTCCTATTAATGGTTTCATACGAGTAGATAGAATTTGGCATTATGCTTTGAATATTTGACCTGTTTAATCACCAGTGCAAGAACTTGACAGCCTAATTAGTTTCAAAGTTTGCCTTATATTTTAGTTTTAGTTGCAACTGAACGTTATTGTGAGATTTAATTTAAGATGTCACTTTATTTTTATCTGTATGCCTAAAATGAAATATCTTGTAATAACTCTACAGTGCTAAGGATATCTGACACGTATCTGACTTCTCTTTTAAAATAAAGACATTTAATTTCTGCACAGCTGTTTTAATTAATTTAGTCTAGTTATTATAATGCATACGAGTATATGTAAAACTGACAGTCTTTTTTATTTCAATATTCATTTTTTAATATTGTTACTATATTAGTCTCCTTGAATCCTTGAATCCTTGAGGCAGTGGTAGCCCAGTGGTAACACGCTCGCTTGGGAAACCGAGTGAAGCGAGTTCAAATCCCGGGTCTCGCACTTCTGATATTTTCATGTGCGAATCATTTCCAACATGATTACCACTTGTCTTAACGGTGAAGGAAAACATCGTGAGGAAACCTGCATGTCTTAGAGAACTTAGCAAGTCTTCGAAAGACATGTGAAGTCCGCCAACCCGCACTTGGCCAGCGTGGTGGACTATGGCCTGATCCCCCTCGTATTGAAGGGAGGCCCGTGCTCAGCAGTGGGACGTTAAAAAGGGCTGAATACAAACATACATTAGTCTCCACAGAGTAATTTTTCAAAAATTGCAAACTTCATTATTTACATTATTAATTGTAGGAATTACATACGTAACAAAGTAGGAACAACAAACATGCCACATTATTAAATAAATTATTTGAAATCCTAAGTATTTTTATTATAAAAAATCTAAACTAATATTATAAAGAGGTAAAGTTCGTGAGTTTCTGACTTTGTGACGTTGTAGGGGGTAATCTCTGGATTTACTTAACCGATTTAAATGAAATTTGGTAAGAAGATAAACTTAAGACCCTGGGAAAGACATAGAATACTTTTTATCCTGGAAATCATCCCTTAAGGGGGTGAAAATGGGGATGAAAGTTTGTATTGGGAATCAAGTTAGGGACGAACCCGAGCGAAGCGAGGGTGAGTCGCTTGTCTATACGTATAATAAAAGTGTAATTAATCCGAATCTGTACATTGAATATTTTTTGGAAAATCTTATTGAAATAGATATTATTATCGATACAAAGGTCGAATCTATAGTTTTTAGAATTTTTGTCTGTCTGTCTATTACCGCATCACAGAAAAACCACTGATGGGATTTTGATGAAATTTGGTATGGTGATATCTGGTTATCCGGGTCAACACGTAGGATACTTTTTACCGCAGGAAAATGTCTCATTTCTGTGAAAAATACAAAAACTGCATTGTAAGAGTATACTAATATGTAAAAGCTAAGAATTTGGTTTATGGTCATATGAACGCGAGCGGAGCCGCAGGCAAAGCTAGTATATAATAACTTTATGCCACTTAAATTTCCTAATGTAAGTCAACATTGTTCTTTTTTGGAAATATAAACATCTTTAACCCGAATAACGACCTATCATCGCTTCGCTTGCTTGTGCTCCTAAGTCCCTAATAGGTCTATATATATTACTCCAGGCTTTGTATGGGTTCCGTCCCCAGAATCTATCAAGTTCTGATAAATGTCATTTCAAAGATCATAATAATAGCTTCATTTTATTGTATGAGACCAACGATACATTAAAACAGGATAAACAAACCCAGTAAAGGAAGCAGCACAACAACCGTATTTACGCAAAGGTACTTGCAATAGAAAATTTAGTCATGTGGCAGTGCAGAATTTTAATGCTGTTTACATTGCGCTGGCCTATACTGAAATATTTACTCAGACGTCATCGTGGTACTTCGGCAATGAGGGTTTTGTCACGATTTTATTTATGGTAGCCAATAATAGAAGAATATATTGATATATATCTACGTTAAAAGATGTCATATGTGTCAGGAAAATCGACCGATTAACACAGAACTCTATATTCTCAAGGTCTATTCCAGACAATGTTTGGGAGAGAATGGGTACACATTGAACATTGAAGAAACTAGACCGGGTCCCCTGTGCTTGTTTTACCCTATAGGGTACACGAAGATTAGAAAAAAACCGAAAGTCCATTTTCAACCGACTTCCTCATAAAGGAGGGGGTTCTCAATTCGGCTGTATGTTTTTTTACTTTTGTTACCTCAGAACTTCGTCATTTATTAACCGATTTGGTCAATTTTTGTTTTGTTTGAAAGTGTATATTTCTAGATTAGTCCTTAAGAATTTAACCTATTTCTAACTGTCATATTGACTTGAAACTTTGCAAGTGTTTCTATTTCCGTTCATCGATCGCGGTTCGGTATCGTTGACCTGATCTGATGATAAGGCCAGAAGGTGGATAGATGGAACTCTTCAACGACTAATAGTAGATACTTTGAGTTTGTTCTTAATTTGTTTCACTTGACAAGCCTAACACTTTAGAATCGGATTTTAGATTCAAAATTTTTAGTGTTACTAATAAAAGCGAATTTTAGTTTATAAGTCTTCGTTTAAAAATTGGCATCAAAGTAACTTCAACGGTTTAAGCGAATATTTTATTACAATACTTTTTTCTTACTTAGCTACACATAGTAATGTGTACACTAAAAAGCGAAAAAAAAATAACAAAAAAATATAAACTGACTTCAAAAAAAGCACTAAAAACTAAAAAAAACTGATTGGTAGTTTTCGTTTACTATACATACCTAATCAAATATTTTCGAAGTCGGTGCCAGCCGATACAAAGCAAACTACACCCTCGCTTCGCTCGGGTCCCTAGGTTGATTCCGCATACAAACTTTCATCCTCATTTTCACCCCCTTAAGGGATGATCTCCGGGATAAAAAGTATCCTATGTCGTTCCCAGGGTCTGAAACTATCTTCTTACCAGATTTTTATCTAAATCGGTTTAGTAGATCTAGAGATT